CTTGCAAGATTTCTGGTCGAGTATTCATTCACCGATTTGTTTAGCAGCAAGAGCTCTATTTATACCGGGATTTACTTTGTCTTTCACCCATTCACTTCTCATTTCAAGCAGAAATTTCCCCATTCAAAATTTGGATTTCCTATAAGATTTTGGTCAAGTAGTCATTCACCGTTTTCTTTAGGAGCAACAGCTCTATATATATCAGGATTTAGTTCGCCCTTCCAGTAGATTACAGGTGTCCAAAGGTGAGTGGTTTTATAAGTTTATTCTTCTCTCGTCGCAATCTGAATTACGACAAAAAGAAGGCTGCGCCAGCGTAAAGGCCGTAGTTACGGGACTGACTTGCGCCGCTGAGTACAATGAGAGGATACTTACGCACATTGTAGCAGTTTTCTCACAGTTTAGCTATATCGGAATCAAGAAGAACGGTCGCCAGAATCAGACCCAAGACGTAATCCAAAAGCAATCGATATAAAATGCATGTGCTGTGATGATAATCTTTTGATGGCATCCAGGTGATATCAAAATCATATCGAATTGAGAGACTGAAGAAATTCTGGTGAAATCCATATGAGATCGATGTGAAATCCATATGAAATCCAAGTGAAATCCATATGAAATCCATGTGAAATCCATGTGAAATCCATATGAAATCCATATGAAATCCATATGAAATCCATGTGAAATCCAAGTGAAATCCATATGAAATCCATATGAAATCCAAATGAAATCCATTTGAAATCCTTGTGAAATCCCAATGAAATCCAAATGAAATCCATGTGAAATCAATGTGAAATCCAAATGAAATCCTGGTGAAATCCTTTCCAAATGTGTGACCGAAAACGGTCGGTTACATTCATTTACGATCGTTTAGGTCGTTGTAAACTGTCGTCTTCGTCAAAATACTGCCGTGTTACGGCACAGATTTTGGTGTAAACGATTGTCGTATTTCGCCGTACACAACACGGTCTCACACGACCGTAATACGGTGCATACCAAACGGGTTATTTACGGCCCGTATACGGTCGTAGTTTTGGCGGATACGGCCGTTCACGTCATCGTAAACGGCTGTGTACGGTCGTTTACGGGCACAGTAATGTTCGACCTGGGATTCTATTCAGCTTCCTCAGAGGAACTGTGTCTACTATACGTATGGTATTAATTGGCGGGCATACGTTGCTTACATTGCTGGAATATTAATTAATGTTGTTAGTTTTGCTGATGCAGTCGGTGTACATGCTCCGTCAACGGTGACCAAACTGTATCAATCGAACTTTTTCTTAGATATGATTGTCAGTAGTGGTTTGTACTATATACTTCATAAGTTATCGTCTGTTAAAATTTATTCGAACAAGAAAGAGAAACTGCCCAACAATGAATTCAAAACAGGTAAATATGTCGAATATTTCGATCTAACCGAGATCACAGTGATATGAAAGAACAAATAAAATGTGTTTTCTCTATTAGCAACGTGTAGGTATAGAGTTAAAAAAGAACGCTCGCATCCACATCCACGCTCTTTTCGTGTTTCATTCTCTTTCATTAGCAATCACGCAGGATATGTTCAGTTTCCTGAAGAATGTGAAACAGTCCGCAATGAAAGTGTATCAAAATACACTTTTCAACTTTAATTGTAATAGTATATATATTTGCAATGTTACTTTTTTTTACGTTTTGATGAAAGAAAAAGAATGCTTTCCTCGCAAGTAAAGCATTATGTTTGTAGATCATCAACGATGTCATACTATCGACAAATCGAATAAAACATTCTTTATGAAATTCAGAAAAAAAACAGATATTAGTATTATTGGCAAAAAAATTGAACTACTTTGGAAATAAATCATCTTGAGACCAAATCGCCTGTTTGAAATGAAATTTCTAGGAAGTTTAAAATGATGATATCGTCAAACAATCGACGTCAACAATCCATTCGAGTCGAATGGCTATGTAGAGAGTGATCTATATGTGTAAACAAGCTTTTGTTGAATTCAGATAGACTGCATATCCAATCACTTCATAATGAGATTTAGATCTCGATTGAAGTTTTATCTACGTAGTAGCAATGATTTATTTTCGTTCTCAAAGTTAATCAGTAACGATAAACGGCCAGTCTATTGATATGATGTCATGTTATTAAAACAAAACCAAATAATAGTTTAATATTGCAGTTTTTCATAAATTTTTTTTGTATTTCCTACTCTTTATAGCATATATTTCTCACAGACATAACAGATAACAAAATGAATATATCCTAAACGATATAGTAAGTATACACTTAGTAAATAGGATGGATATCTAAAGACTAGTTAAACAAAGCAAAAAATTAATATAGAATTTGTAGTCCTATATGAAGTTTTCTATTCATCGAAGATATCAAGAAAGAAAAACATATAAAAATAAAAAAATGACAAGGACTATAGTTGTGAAACAGTGCTTTTATACTATTACTGTAGAGATTACGAGGAAGACATGACTCATACAGGAGTTAATATAACTGTTATAGGATCAGAAAAAAGAAGAATAACTAATCCTGGTATACCGATCAGTTGGACTGGTATCAATACTGGTATGGAAAAATCCATCGATTCTAATTCTACTCGTTCTATTTGTGCCATTGCGTCAACATAACTCATGTAACATTAAAATGCACATCAAATGCATTTACAGATTGCGTTTAGATGTGATTAACATTCTGAACAGTGTCGAAGTGCACTCACTGGATACCTAATTATATCCAACCCAAAGATATTCTTCATCTCATTTATTGTAATAAATCCGTCACTATAAATAGATTGGTGAGCAATAACTTTTAATGATAATATTCGAGCGCGTTAAGAAAAACAGCGAACATAGTATAGAGAGAGAAAGAATCGATCGTAAGAGAGATAGGAAAAACGCGTATGATAGAATGGAAAAAAATACATCTGACGTAAAGAGAAGAGAAAAATTACAATATAGAAAAGAATGCGCAAAAAGATGCCAACATAGATTTTTTACTTCTTAAAAAAAACCACATGTGAACGTGCTTTAATCCAAGCTCTACGTTCATACGTACTCTACAGATGACATGAAGTTTCGCACTAGGGCACGTCACTACGCGTGCATATTCTAGAAACATGATCAGAGAGTACAATCAATATGTTGATGACATCTTTGGACTCTTGATTTATGTCTTGCACAATGTTCACTTTTTTGAATTCTGATCTCATGTGGAATCGGTTACTCGAAAACATTTCATTAAAATGGAACACAATAGCACTTAAATATAATTATGCATTTCTTAACTAACTACATTTCAATTGATATTGAATTTGGATTTTGTCGATCCACTAGCAATTGAATAAATCAGTTCATAAAATTTATTTGATATGTTTTCTTGTAGCAAGAAAGAAAGGATGGAGTAAATAATTGATAATGCAATACGAATCTCTACACACAAACACATATTTTTTGCTATTATTTCTTGTGCAATATTTCGTTTTGTTACCTTGATATTCTCTGTTCTATCCTTTGACTCGTCCAATCATTTGAATTGCACTGAGCAAGATTTATTAAACGACAACAAAAAAAAACTTTTTAACGCGGCTTTCTTAGGGCTGAAATGTGAAGCTCATATGGTTTCTGCAGTCTGATTACACTAATATACAATATGGGTAAGTGAAAAAACTGTCGCACATTATACTTGCTTTCTATGGTAATCGATCGGCATACAAATAACCTGTCTTATTTATTTCTGCATTTCGAACAGAATTTTATTTTATTTTTACTCTTGTCCTATTGTTGCTTACATTGTCACTATTCGCTCATTATTTTTATTTTTCGTATTTTTTTTTTGTTTTGTTTATTTAACTGTCTGTTATACAACATGTACATTATATTTACAACAAGTATGAACAGACTATTATATATCTCGTTCAATTCAGAAACGCTGAGATTGATTGTTTTTAAAGTAACAACTTGATCAATTTATTCTGCTTATGATGATCATATTAAGATGAGTAAATCAATACGTCACTATTCATCGTTTTTGACATATTAAATACAAATTTTTATTTGTCCAAAAATCAGAAACTGCACTATGGAAAACATTGACAAAAGTATTCTAACCATTCAAATTTCGACAAAGCCTTTGCAATATTCCAAAGCAGTTCAAGTCTTGTTGTTCATGCCGTAGTATTTTTTCGTTGTTATGGTCTGTAATGGAGAGGAGATGCCGAACAACTTCGACTTAAAACGTACATTCATTATTTTCTTCGAAAATATATGTAAGTTCCACAAAAACAAAGACATGAGCTTGATGAATTGTTGACAAGATCAATGTAGCAATGTCTTTGATTGATTCAACAAAGTCTTCAATGTTTGTCTATAGAGTATCGAGATGAAATCACTCGATAATGAATTGTATGCTAAATGTCATGTCAGTCAATTCTTCTCTTACATCTCGCTCATGTCAATATCATGAAGGATCAAATGCCCCATATTTCTTTGTTGATATAATATACGTAACTGAGAATAAAATCTTGAACTATTACTTTGAAAACGAAGAATAACACAAATTCCGATAAAAACAGTGAAAAAGACAACACTACTATCTTCTTTCAGCATTCTTGATTCATCACTGTATATAAGGTTGCAAGTTCGAAGAATTACATTAGACATTTTCCGAGTTCATTTGCCTAAGACACTAGGACCAATAGCAGAATTTTTTTTTGTAGATTCGTTGGAATTCTTTTCATTATGATGAAGTGATTATTTTCAGTGGAAATTTTTACACGGGCAACCCTTAACATCACATCCATAAATCGACAAAAAATGGTTTGACAAAAGTTTTCCTTTGTATTATTTAACGGTTTAGGTACCATGACCGTGTTGATGAAACTCTACTCACAGAGAAAAGATTGGGCTAATGCATCATAGAGAAAGCGTCATCACTTACATTCTATATCATACATCTCAATGACGTGTTTATTACAATATTTTAACCAAATTGTAAGTAGGATTTGTGTTATACGAAAGATATTCTTATGTAGCAGGAAAAGAGAATAAAGAAATCAGTGTTGAATGAGTCAGATAAAACAGAGTATCAATCATCATCGACATCAATATAGATAAAAATAAATCAGGGGAAATATTTCCGACTGCTAGCAACAGATTAGTAAGCTTATATAATTTCCTCTCAATTCTTCATCAGAGGAACACTATATATCCCATTAACCCAGTCCTTTTTCTATGAGTAATTTCCCACTAGTGGGCATGTTAAATAAAGTGTTAAATGATATAAAGAAAACATTTTCTACTATAGTCGTATGCATATATATATAGGCAAGAGATAGACAGAAAAATCAGAACATATCAGAGTTATTTTTTTTTACTGTAATTCAACAAATGGGATTCATTTTTCGACTGGCAATATTGTTCATCATTGGTAGTAAGCATCATTGAGAATTCTTTTATTCGTGCTCAGTATTATTTGTATTTGTTCACAGCTGTAACAGCATCTGGAATAACTATTGAATTTCATAATGGTCTTAGTTTTCCGATTCAATTAGTTGTAACACAAAATCACGTCGCACCTCGACATATAGCTACAATTCAAAGGGGGTAAGTTCTATAGGAAACTATGTATCAAATGATCTACTCTGTTTGTCTTTTCTTATTTCTTAGTAAATTTTTTTCATATCATTGCCCACAAGGATTTGCTGGAAACTTTAAACATGGTTGGGCTGGTAAAGGTATAACACTATTCGAAATATCCGTTCGAACACATGATGCGAACACTTATTATGATTTAAGTGTCATCGATGGTTTCAATGTACCGATGAAAGTTTATGCTCCAGATGGGTAAGGAAACTACAAGTGTAAGTCTGTTAGTAATTTGATTTGTTTATTCCAGAACAAGAATTCAAGCTTTACACTCCCGGGCACCAGATGCTTATCTATATCCGACAGATGATAGCAAAACACATGGCTTACGTGGAGATGGGAAATTCGTGGTTGTCTTTGAATGGTAAATGATCGGACAAAATTTTTTTCGATATGAAAATCAAAATTTTGCTCTTTGATAAGGATAGACTTATGTGCTTGATTAATGCTTGATGTGGAATCTTTCTATGTATTTATTTTGAGTTATTTGTTCATCACTCTATCCTAGAAATTATATTTAACTACCAATACTGCTAATCATTTTCTATCATACACGATATTATTTTGTTAGCGTTAGATGCCTGCTTTGTTGTGAAAAAGCCAACGAGATATGTTGGAATCCATAATATGTACACGATATGCTTATTTTGTAAACTCATATTGTAATATTCATAAGTAGGACGATTGCATCTACTGAAATATGTAGCCTTCAGTAGTTTCGAAAACGCATCTGAAAAGAGATGCGAATGTTGTGTTGCAAGAGACAGTTACTGAAATGGCGCATTAATTAATTCAACTTCAATACAAACAATCTGAAAAGAAAAAGTACACTTCAAATAAAATAATCTATGCTAGTTCACAAATTTTCACTACCTACTTCAACTTTTGGTATTTGCTGATCACAACAAGGCTGAGGTGGAGAAAGCAGATGTTTCAATGTCCAGCAGAGCCTCCATAATAGGCTGCTCACATTTCTAATAAATAATATTTATTAGTGCTAGATCATATGTGCTGTCCTAAAAGGTCGCTGGGTAACTACCGAATGATCTTTCGTGCCTACATTACTAATGTCGAATTTTTTTTAAAGTACCAACGACTATTTTTTGAATAACTTTTCAACGGTTCAAGTTATAGAGGTCGGATTTTCACCGTTAGAAAGAGCAAGGCGGGGGACGTCGATCTCTATAAAATTCATTAGGTTTATGAGTCTTTTCTATGGTTGTTTGTAGTCAAATATCTAATCGGTTGTCTACTTTCATGAGTTTCCATAACAAATTAACAGGTAATTAGACCAAAATGTAGCCAAAATCGTCCTGTATTTGTCCTAAAATTTTCAAATGTTTGCGTCTTATTCTTGAGTTCATTTCCTTACGCTTTGGTGTTAAAATGTAAAAATTTTATTACAAATACAGGACGATTTTGGCTACATTTTGATCTAATTAGATGTTAATTTGTTATGAAAACTCATGAATATAGACAACCGATTAGATATGTGACTACAAACAACCATAGAAAAGACTCATAAACCTAATGAATTTTATAGAGATCGATGTTCCCCGCCTTGCTCTTCCTAACGGTGAAAATCCGACCTCTATAACTTGAACCGTTGAAAAGTTATTCAAGAAATAGTCGTTGGTACTTTAAAAAAAATTCGACATTAGTTCAGTCCTGAAGTAAAAGTTTCGAAGTAATTTGAAAATCTTTGGGCAGATTTATCGATATCAGTCGGTGATCGGCTACTGAAGGCATGATGACAATCTACAGACAATAAAAAGCGTTCATTCTCAGACGTACACAACGATAGTTCACAACTTTCTGCTGTGTTATTCTTCTTTCAATAATGGTATCTGTATTGGTTCTTTGATTTAATTGTGAGTAATTTTGCCATCATATTTTTAGTGAGATCATTTCCTTCTCCTCATGATGTTGTCTCATACTCAAAGTCAACTCGAAGCATGTGTGGGTATGGTTGTCTTACGTTTTAAGCGTAGTTATCATGGGTTTTGCGTGTAGTTGTCTAATATTTTGGGTGGGGGTGTCTTGTGTTTCAATGTGGGTGTGATTGTCTCGTGCTTTGTGCATGGGTATGGAGTTGGGAGTGTGGGGTGTGAGTGCTATTGTCTTCTGTTCTGGGTATAAATGTGAGTCGTGTGTGGCTGTGATTGTCTTGTATTTTGGGCGTAGGTGTCTTGCGACTTAGATGAAATTTTCTGGTGTTGTCGGTGTTGGTGTGGATGTGGGTGTGAATGTGGGTGTGGGTGTGGCTCTTGTCTTCTTTCACACTCACACCCACACCCCACACCCACACCCACATCCACACCTACACTCACAACCACATCCCCACCCCACACCCACGCCCCACACTCCTACCCACATCCACACCCACACCCACACTTACACCGACACCCATACCGACACCACCACACCCGCCCACATCCACACTCACACCCACACCGCACATCCCACCCCCACACCGACACCCATACCCATACCCACACCCACACCCTTCTTAAACATTTCTATCGAAAAATCTTTTATCATTAGTATATTTCTGAATAAGATAATCATTTATGTCAACATATCATTCTACAGTGAAAACCTCAATCTGTTGCCGTTTAGTAAATTCTGGCGTCTGGCGTTAGTATCCTTTTGGTATTTTGTGAGTGTACAGTATTATCTTTCACTAGGATTTCAAATCACTTTAACTATTCATATCTAAGAAATAATCATTGTTGCATGGCGAACACAAAAGATAAAAACACTCATCATAACG